ATGGACCAGTGATGGCCTGGTGGTAGAGTCGATTCCCGACAAGCAGTCGATGGCAGGTTCAAATCCTGCTGGTTCCAAATATTCTGGATTAATGTGGTGATGATGATGATGATGTCTCTGATACGGGATTCGGAGATCGTATATGACTTTGGTTGACAGGGGATGGGAACGGTGGTAGAGGGGTGGTGGTGGTGGTGGTGGTGGTGATAATGGTGGTAGTGCTGGTGGTGGAGGGGTGATGATGGTGATGGTGGTGGTGGAAGGGTTGATGGTGATGATGATAGTGGTGGTGGTGGTGGTGGTGGTGGTGGTGGTGGTAGTGATGGCGGTAATATCAATGGTGACCATGGGTTGGTGTTGATATTGTGACGCTCGCTGTGGTGGTGGTGGTGGTGGTGGTGGTGGTGGTGGTGGTGGTGGTGGTTGTGATGGTGGTGGTGGTGGTGGTGGTGGAGGTGGTGGTGGTGGGAGTGGTAAGAGTTTGGACAGCCATGGTGACCCTGGTGATGTTGGCGGTGATTGTGGAAGTGGTTGTGGTGGTGATGGTGATGGTGATGATGATGGCGCTGATGATGATGACGATTGTGATGGAGATGATGATGGTGTTGATACTGGTAGTGCCGTGGTGGATAATGCTCGCGGTCGTTGGCGCGGTCGTTGCGCTGTAGCTGCTTCTTCTGCTCCTAACGATGATAGTGGTGGCGGCCATGTTGGTATATCCAACCCCTTCCTTCAAACACATTGCCCATTTTCCAATAAATATTATATAGGCCTATATGTCATCATCATCACAATCGTTTCGCAATTTGTTGCTCCATTTGAGATCCGTATATAAACGAATCATTTGTTTCGACCATGTCGTTTCACGCAAACGACATGAGTGTGTGTGAAGATGGAACATAGACTGACATGCACCATTACACCTTAAACAAGATATGTGGTCATGCATGTCATGAGATCGAATCATTCTTTTCATATCACTTGTAATCAAATCGATAACACCTCCTGTCGATCAATATTTCATTGATATCGTTCTTGTGACGGGTGAAGATATTTTCACGGATCATCTCCTTTTGTTGTAACTGTGAATTAACTTTGATGGAAGACAGGTTAACGATTTAAAGATCCATTATGGAACACAAGTCAAATCTCATTCGGGAGGAACGATAACAATATATTCAAATTCATTTCCAACAAGTCAGAAGGACTTTCGACTAATAGTTATATGGAGTTACTTTTACAAACAAATATTTAATGCAAGACTCCCGTGGCCAGGTAAATACGTAGTCCTTTGTATATCTGATTTCATCCCATTGCGTGTGTTTGGTTTGTTGCTTATTAAATATACCGCTACAATGATTTGGCATTACAGGTATGACTGCATGTAATCAAAAATCCTTTGATACCTTGAAATAACAATGTATCCATTTTTGTAATCAGGTGTGTGGATTCAATCAGGCCAAACGAAACATTCAATGCCTAGAAACCTTTCAGAAACATGTTTAAAAAACGGTTTTTTTTTTTTTTACTCAGACTTACTTATGTTGTTAACATAGAGAGATTTGTGTATTTTGTTTTGTATAGCGCCTTGACTCTCAGTTATTAGATAAGTCCGCTTTATAAGTATATTATGCTTGGGCTGTGAGTGGGTTGCCCGGTCACCCAATATTTGTTTAGAATTGAATTGAATTTGAATTTGAATTTATTAAAAACAACACATCACAATAATGACAGTACATATGAACAAGCATACAATGCAAAAAATAATACTGATATTACATGTATACATAACATAAGAGTAATGTCGATTGAACTGTAATGGTTTAAAAACGATATTTAGACATAGTACATCTGCATACTATTACGTAAATATGTGTATTACTATATTTAGGTGAAGTTGTTAATGCGAACTAGAAGTTAGCACAAGTGGTAGTCGAGCCTAGTTCCATTCTTTGGCAAGATTTTTTTCTGTAAATTTGTTTATACATATGAATTACCTGTAACAGAGTTTGCCCCTCCCTCGCCCTGCATATTGATCAATACTTATTATTATATCCATTCTCTCTTGGTAAAGTACCCTATATAGTATTAGCAAAACTAGAGGGAAAATGTGAAAGCCACATCATTCTTCTTCTTCTTTTTCTTCTTCAAGATAATCTGCCTCTTTCAATTCTGAAGATTCTTGCAGATACTGCATCTATGAAACAAGGGGAGGGCACGTTAATACAACGCAGGCTTCAGTTATCCGCCTGGGTGGGATTCGAGCCCGAGATCTTTGGTTCGACAGGCAGACGCTTTACCGACTGAGCCAAATCGCCTCCTGCTTTTTAAAGTTTGTTTTTGTTTGTTTGTTTGTTTTAAATCCCGTTTTAAACACACACGATACCCTTTTTCAGACTTAATTTACCCTTTGAACTTGGAAACGTAATTATATAATAATAATAATAATAATAATAATATTGAGTATTTATAATGCGCCAACTCCACATGACTAATGTGTTCGAGGCGCATGGAGAAGAAAAACTATAAGTACACAAAAATACACACAAAAATTAACAACGACAATGTGAAAGTAAAACTAAATCTACTCGAAAGCCGCTTTGAACAAATGAGTTTTGAGGGCATGTTTAAAGCAATCTACACTTGAAATATATCAGTTCTCATCCTGCAAAATACATGCATTTGCTTAATTATAGTTTATTGCAAACGACAAAAAGTACACGGTTTTCCTCTTAGGTATATTCATCGGGAAAGGAACTTGCACTCGATTTTGTAAACAGTTCAATAGGGAGATACCACGACAGACCGTTATTCTCTTCGTTGTTTTTAATGTCCTTTTTATGCCATTTATTGCCCGTTAGAGTCATTACGTCCTTTATACGAATCCGTTGAAGGTAATAAGAACGCATTACGAGATAATCTGTTGTAATCCCTTTCGAATTTATCTCTCTAATCCCCTTCTTCTCAAAAGGATTACATGTAACTGGTTGGGGCCATTGGAAAGGATACTCACTTAAAGCGGCTTAACGAGACTACTTTTGTGTGATTTAATGTATTTTAATTCTCATGTTATGTAGCCTTCTGACGTTAAATTGTATGGGCAGTGTAATGTCGTCCGTATACAAATGGTCCATATGAGGCAAGTCTATATAAAGGAAATTTGTATACACATTGATCTACACAAGACTATACTACTACAGCTCACAGTATCTTATTTCTTTTGGGGCATAATATCCTAAATGATGTATTATGATGATCCCACATCTGTTATCAACTTTACATCAAACTCAACGCAATTGTTTTCTTCGGTTGTTAAGAAAGGGATTGCCCCTCCCCTTCTGTAGCTTAGTTTGTTTCCATCCCTTGTATAAAAATTACATTCTTTTTATTCACCTTGCCATATCGTTAATGTATGTATTTTGTTGACTATAGGGCCCCCGCTCACAAGCTTAGCTTCTACAGGGGTCCTAAAACCATTCACTTAATGATGTAATCAAGTTATTATATGTTGATTAATGTACTATTACCAGTCTCTTTTTCATGTAAAAGATTATATCATGTTTAGTGTGGTTTTGAATAAATGAACTTGAACTTGAACTTGAACTTGAACTTGAACTTGAACTTCCCAACATCCCCCACGTTTGTAATGCAGCTAGCTGCAAATGAGCAAAATTTCATGACGAAAATTAAAATGGTTTAGCGCCATCTACGCTCACAGCACTATAACCAACTCGAAAAAGTTTGTTTATTAATCGTCTGCGATCAGCTGATTGACGGGGAAATCTCTAGAACTTCTAGCTCTCAAAATTCATCTTTCATACTTTTTAACTTTTTTACACCCCACTTGCATGTGAATTACTAGATTTACTACATGAACCGTAAGTATAACTGAGATATTAATGTAGGATTTAACAATAAAACGGCTCTAGAGTTCTATTCAAAATGTGAATGAAAGTTTGAAAGATGGCGAGTCGCATTCATAATAATTCACATTGCCATTGGCATTGGTCATGTTGAGATGGAGTGCAGTGACGCTTGTCGTCAGTGTTTAATACTGTGAGTGTGACTCTCATGTCAGTGACTGTCAGTTTAACCAACAATGTGAACAATTCTTTTAGTTTTAGACTTGGATATAACTTGTTAGATCATTAACTACACACTCGGTTTGTTTCTAAAGATTAACAAGTCGTATTCAGTGTTTAGGTGAATTTGTGTAGACCCCTAACGTTACTAAGGCCCTAGGACTCAGGAGTAGATCTAGACTACGATAGGTAGACTTGAGGTTGGACATTTAGTTTCTACCAACTTCTTCTTGTTCTTCCTCCGCTTTTTCGGAGATCAGCGATCCCATGGGCCACAAGACATATAACTAAACAGAAGCACAAGGTAAACATCAAGGCAATGGACTGATAGCAGTCGATCGCAATAGGTGCATTTTATGGACAAAGACGTGAACAGAAATAGCCGTCTGGTATTATTGCTATGGTATGGGGAATTCTTTATTAAAATCATTTTTGTTTAAAACCAAAAGCTTCAGTCTGATGTCGATGGTTGTTTGGCTCTGCTGACCGCCTCCATTTGGAAGGTTGACAACAACGTAAATAGACTCTAGATCTAGACCTAGATCTAGTCTAGGCCTACAATTTTTGATTTTGGCCTTATTTGGCTGATTGATAATGATTTGAATTTTCAATACTTTTAATTTATAACTAAAGACAAAGTTATAGATCTATAATCTAAGTCAGAGATCTGACTTAAAACAGTAGTCTAGTATTGACATTGTTTAAATGTTCAGTTTTTCTTATTTTTCACCAGGATTGTGAGAAGTGGATGATATCTCTAGACCTACTCTTAGTGGTAGACTAGGTCTAGGGTCTTCTTAAATTATTAAACATTGGCACTCATTGCTAGAATTGTAAGTTAAGTCTCGTATCTCAGTCAGGAAGCACAACAACAAATTTTATTACAGAGTTCTTTAAAATTATGCCACACAGCATTATCAGATCACAGGGAAGTAGACCGGAACGCGTGAATCCAACGTACATTGGTGGAGTATGAATGATGACAGCCAATTTTGGACACAAATAGACCATTTGACTGAAGATTTGAAGAATGAAGAAAGGGCCCGGAAACTGAGAGAACAGTTCTGCCAAACAAGAGACCAAGACGCTGTCAAATATGTGAGAACACAAGACATCACAAGGTAAAATGATTAATACGTTTTAAGATTTGTACAAACAATAATTGGAAGGTCCTTTTTCTTTGATTTTAGTTTTTGTTTTAGCTACTTGCATGCACATTCATCAGCATTTTACCAGACAATATTTCATTTAAAAAAAAATCACAAGTAGGGCCTAGAGTCTTTTGTATGCTTTGCTAAACTTAAGTTTTGTGAACCCATGTTATTTCTATGTGATTTCTGATTACATGTGAATTTTTCTGAGGTAAAGAAAAAGGGGGGACTTGTTAATAAAATAATCTTATAAAACACTTTATTTGGGTTGTCATATCTTAAGTTTCATTTTTTTATACTCCATCCAAATGGGGGCATTTATATTGATGTTTTAATTAAAAGCTTAATCTCTTAGTCACATGTACAAGGTACTATAACAGCTGGTTCTAGGTTTAAGAAAAATGATTTTATCTGAAATCCTGACTAGACCATTCATTGCAGTTACACTCAGATTAATTGCTATGAAAGTTGAAACTAATTGTAACTTCTATCATTCTAAATGTATTGCTCTCTCACAGACAAGAGGTGTTGCACAGGATTGAAGCCGTTGTTGAGAATGTGGTGACTTGTATTGCAAGGGGAGAGGCTCTGTATCTTAGCTACGGCAGGAGAAACAGCTGGGATAGTGTGAGGTAGGAACAGTATTCAGCAGTGGGAATAGCTAATGGGGCACATAAGAGACACATGAACCCCTTCTCCCCCTACCCCCATTTGAAGAAGGGAAAATGAAAATATTTATAAAAAAAAGAGAAAAGGGGGAGGGGGAGGCAAGAGAAGATGATAGACTCTTTCCCCACTCTTACGCCACTCGACAGCTTTCTTTTAATTAGTATTACATACACCTTGGACCATTTGCTTGATCCAAGCTATGCAACTGTTATCAAGTCTCCATTATTATACCAGTTTTAATGTTGAAAGTACTGTTGTTGTTTTTTTTAAATGCATTTACAGTGTCTTGGAAAAATTTAACATTTGTTACAAGCTATTTCAAACTGGGTGTATCATATTGTCAATACTAGAAGATTGAATGTATTGAAAATAGAGTGATGAATTTTGATTTCAGTTAAGAAACACCCAAGCTTCGTAATTGAAATGTAATTCATCAGGATAATTCAATAAGAATTACAATATCTAATGACGTCTTCAGTTTGTTGAACGTACAATTTGTAAGTCAGAATCTTGATCTACTACATGTATGTCAACATCTCATGCAGATAGCTGTGTAAACACATTCATATATTTCCTTTTCTTCTCTGCAAGTCACACTCTTTTTTATTCATATTTTTTATTGTTGTATCTAAGTTGAGGGCTGCGGGCACGTCAAGCTACTCTGCTTATTTCTGTAGCCCTCCTGCATCTATTTTGTTTATTATCTGTATAAAATTATATACACTTAAAATATTGTATCAAACCATATTATGTTCATGGAAATGTATGATGAAAACAAGAAAAAAAGATGCAGAAACCAATAAATCAAATCAAATCAAATCAAATAAATACATGTACATGTAGATGGATCCAGATGAGAAAAGAAAATGGCTATGCCCCCGTTTCAAGTACTAAGTTAGTTGCTGTCTGTGCTATGCTTCACAGATTTTGGCGCTTTTTACAGCTTCCAACTTTCTCCTCCTGTCCTTTTTGACAATCATTGACCTACCTCTGTATATATAGAAAATAATGAATGTTTCAATTTCTACTTATCTTCCCTTCTTTAATTGCCTCTTTCCCCACTCCATAAACCTCTCTTTTCTCTCTCTTCAACTCTCTCCTCCCTTCAACTTTACTCTCTCCCTCTCTCTCCCTTTCACCTTTCTTTTTCTTTCCCTCTTTAACTCTTTCAATCCTTGCCCCCTCATTTTCCTGCTTTTTCTTGTACTGTCTGTCTCTCTGCCTGCCTCTTTCTCTCTTTCTCTCCTAATTCTCCCATCTCCTACAGTTTCAGAGAAGATGTAGGACTGGAGATGAAGAATGATGCAAAGATGACAGAAGTGAGATTTGATGTACCGACCTCAACAAATAGATTTAGTAAGTTTAAACACACAGATTGATATTTTGTAATGTCCTAACATGAGCAAAGCCTTCAAATAAAGCAAATCCATTATCTAAAGCAGATAACAGTTATATTTTGGATTTTGAATACTTAATGATGGTCAAATAGATTACGATGCTGAAAAATCATAAAAACCTATACAAAAAACAACATGTAGATAAATTTAGGCTTTCAAGAAAACTAAAAGGAACTAGCTTGGAAAAATTTTAATCATTGAGCTATTGTATCTTCTATCACTGAGTAATGGATAAGAACTCATAAAAATAACAACAAGGAAAATGCTGTAGTAATAGACTATATTGATGTTATCCAGAAGAGGCATTTGAATATATATAATCAAAATTCTGTTTGTTTAATCATTTACTATCCACCTTCTAGCCCTTATGTTGAAGGTTCTAGCCTTGTGCTACAGACTTGTGCAGACTGATACATATTCAACAAAAAGGTGAGCTTGCATATAGTAATCAAGCCAGATCCTATTCTACACAGCTAGCATATCAGTGTCAACAAGTTTTAAGGTTTCAGTGATCAATTCAAACTTCTATTCAAAATCTTGTATACCTGTACATTGGAACATTACCAAAAACATCACTTATTTGATGTGAATAGAAACAAAATATGTTGAAGAAGTTGAAGTTTGCGGGGATGGAAGAAACAAGGACAGAAAATGAGATGATGAAGAATATACATGTACACACTATGAATATGACGGACAAAGAAAGCGGACAAAATATACAGTTCCTCAGGTAGACAAAGGAACATCCCTTCACTGCTATTATGTAAAAAGGTGAATATGCATGTGACACCTGTTCTACACATTTTTACATAATAGCAGTGAAGGGATGTTCCTTTGTCTACCTGAGGAACTGTATATTTTGTCCGCTTTCTTTGTTCGTCATATTCATAGTGACAGGTACATGTACATGCTAAATGCTGCATATGAACAAAATGTCAACAATGGAACATTGAGCAAGCAACGGTTTTTTAATTACATGTGTACCTCAGAAAAAAGACACAGGCAAAAATATTCAGAGAAAATAGACCAGATACTTTATTTCATCAATGCCCCTTCCCATCAACATGCAACATTAGGAAATAGTCTTGTGTACTTCCACATGTTGTTGTTTTGTCTATGTACAGGGACCTGTATTACAGTGATGTTCAGTCATTTGGCAGCCAGTCAATCGTTGATGACATCATTGACAACCTCTGCTGTTTATTGCAAGTACCAAGACGATGCCTTCACGTTGTAAGTTCACCTTTCACCTTTCACCTTTCATTCCTGATTTTAAAGCTTAACTGCACTAGTTTGGCCCGCGGGGATTAGACCTCCCTGCGTGTTCACTGGCAGGTGGTTGTCTCATCAAAACGGGTACCGCTTAGGCATTGTTGGCTATATATAGGGCACAAGTAGATACAAGTAGTGCAGTCCAGCTTTAAGCAGACAACAATTGCTCTATGGTCGATTTCCTTCGCCAACTGAATTTACTTCACTTTTTATTTTTTAATTACACTGAAATGAAATGTAACTTCTGTATTGCTAACACTAGTAATGAGCTGCTTTTCATCAGCTCTGATGTCATAAACAGGTCCTGCATCCTACTGTAAAAATAAGTTTAAAGGTTTAATCCACTTTGTTTCCCTTTCTGACCAGCTGGCTACATCAAAAGGGTTGGTCTATGGAGATCTGTGCTTCACTGATGCTTCCGGATCCTACATAGATTGTAGCAACAATAGAACAGTGAGTTTGCCATAGAGCGACTAGTTGCTTATTTCATCACTAGAGGGCTGCCATCATGAACATTTGCTTACGTTTATTCACTAAACTGTTTGTATTGAGAATTTAGGTCATAATCAGTGTTTAGGGACATCTTCTAGTCACATCTTTGTTAACAAGAGTTGGCTGAACTCTATGCAATCTTCAAAGATCTCTCTCTCTCTCTCTCTTTCTCTAGCATTGTGTACTATTTTTTCATACTTAAAAGAAAATCAATATACGAAGGGGGCGTGCTCACTAAAAAGCATGGCACCTTGATAGCATTTGAACATGATATCAAATTCATTTGTGTTGCAAATGAATGCAATTATTTTTTTCTATGAAATTCTATTTTATTGTATCTCCTCTTTATTACAGGGAACACAAGTGACAAATCATGTTGGGGGAATTTCAAGTATCCTTTAAAGATACTATGTCCCTTTTGCAGCCATCATCAAATTCTGTAGAATTTTGTAGGAATTATGAATATGTAATATATGCCCTTTCTGTGAAATTTAAATGTTAGCAGTGTCCTAATATTCAAACTATGCAAGGAAACCTGTTTACTTGCTAGACTTCACTGTCAGACACCATTGAGTGACTGACTGGCCTTTTTTTCTTCTTTGGTAATAACATACATAAAATGAGCTGTAAAAGCATTTGTCTACATCAGGCCTTCTCAACTAGTTTATTAGAAGTGCCAAAACGAAAAGAATTTGTAGTTGAATTGCCACCCTGTAAGGTCGACTGTGCTGTGAGGGAGCGTAGTGAACGAGCCGAAAATGGGTGGGGTCCAGGGGCGAAGCCCTAACAGGGGTAGCAGGGGGCTGAGCCCCCTGAAGCTGGTAGATTTAGGGCTTTCTAAAGGCCCAAATGGGGCATTTTTAGCACCATTTCATTCCACAATATAATCAATCGTAATTTCATATTGATGTGAAAAAATTATTAAAATTCCTAAGTACAATTACACAAGGGGTATATTTATATGTAGTTTTTTTGTGTGCAATAAACACAGGAAATGTCAAAATAAAGTGAAATTAAACAAACAAAAACAAGATGTTTCCAGATATTGGCAATGTTGAATCGTCTCATCGTAAGCTAATTGTTGTTCGGACCTTTTAGATTCGTATAAAATGGTAAAAAACAATAAATTCCCCCTTTCTTCCTGTTTGTTAATAAAACAGGCATTTAGGGCTCGAATTCGACTGCAACTTCTTGATTTAGCTGAGTATTTAATTCTAAAATATATATTCTCTTTTTTTCTGTTTTTTGTTTTGTTGTTGCAACAGTCGCTTGCCACTCCGACTGACCGTAAGCGCCACAAGTGGCACGCGCGCCGCCAGTTGAGAAGGCCTGGTCTACATCAATAACCCACTTCTTGTAATGGCCAAAGTCAAAATGTGTGCAGCACAAAACATATGACCATAGAGCAACCAAACAAGCAGCAACAACAATAAAACACTGATTTTTATGAACCAGACAAACAAAGCAGTTTTGAAAAAAGAGAAAACGGTGAAATTGAATTACATGATGCATGTACAAATAGTTCTGATATTTAAAAAAAGATGAATCGTGAAAACTTAATGTGTTTACATCTAATGAAGATCACCATCAAATTTGAGTCTTTCTTCTTTGAACTTATTTTCTGAGGTAAACTTGGTACAGTGGTTTTGTATTAAATAATGTTGTTGAGTTTACATTGACTATTATGATGAAGCTACATAGAAGCTGTATGTTAATATCTTATGAAGATAGCCATTAAACTAAAGCATAAAAAAAAGATGTATCAACTGGATCATGTTAAGATAAACTTGAGATAGTTGATAGATGCACGTTTTGAATGGGCTCTTATAAACTGATGAATTTAAACTACTGGGTATAGGTTGTATGTAAGCAGACGTGAGTTTATGTGGTGTCCCGCTTTGTGCCCTACCTACACAATGACCTAGGTTCAATACCCAGTTACACCTTTGTCATTGCGATGATGTTATACATCTGTTTCGAGAAATGCTATAGACATTTACACATATATCTATTAACCTAACTTAACCACACACTCACTTTTAAGAGACAAAATTGATACAGTATCTAATAAAGATAGTAAGGGTTGTTATTGTTTATTATATTAAATTAATTTTCTAAGGAAACATTTTGAAAGGTTTATTGTTGTTTGGTCGGTCTATTTCCATAAGGTCTTCACCCAGTACGTCTACTATCCACATCACCTGATCCACATGGTCTTAACAATCACTTTGTCTAATAGCCATTTGGTCTAATCTCCAATAAGTCTACTGGGTGGGCTGGGTGTAGACCATTTGGGAAAAGACTAATTGGATAGTAGACGAACTGGTTGTAGACTAAACAGCAGTTCACCTTTTTGCAGACAGTCCATACCAGGAGGTTATTGAAAATCCAGTCAATTTATTGAACTGAAATCGAGTAATAGTTGAAAAGAAATTCAAACTCCTTTCATATCTAATGAAGATAACCAAACATAATCATCACCCTTCCATTTTTTCATCCATTATTTGACAAAATATCATTGAATTTAAGATAATGAAGTAGTGATTGTTATAAATTAGGACTTGATTCATAATGAAATAAACAAAAAATGGTTTGACATCTTATGAAGATAGCTTGTCAGAATGGATGAATTTTAATATTATCAACTGACTTTTTTCTGAAATCACAAGGATACTAACATTTATACAAAGGTCGTAAATTACTTGAGTGTGTAGCTTATGCACTGTCAAACACTTATGAAGTTCAATCAAAGATATCTTTAATAATCTTATGAAGATTACTAGCAGGTGGAGCTAAAATTTGAATGTATACCTCATTTTATAAGATCATTTTGTAAATATAAAATGAAATCATTACTTATTCCAAATTTGTTGGTCCTAACAGTTATTGGTCACGTGAGCTGTAGCTGTTAATGTTATCCAGTACTTTCCTTTATCAAGATTCTAATCTAGACATACACAGCCATGCTAAGTTTGTGTTGATCATAGAGAAAGATGCTACCTTTCAGAAGATCATAGATGATGGACTGATGGACAGAATGCGGAACTGCATCATTATCACTGTGAGTTTCAACTTTCAAGTTTATTTGTTTTACATTAAAAAAAACAGAATTCACATAAATGATAAAATTATAACATAATATGAAATATACTCAAAGTATGAAATTATATAACCAAGTCTTTGTAAAGACGTTGAAATTAATTGTATTAAATGGTAGGTTATACAGGGTGAAATGTGAGGAACCTATTAAAAAGCTCAGCTTGTAGATTATAGGTTCCCCTAAATAATAGAAAGATTAAATGAAAACTTACCGTTTGAAATTTGATCTTTATTTTATGAGGAAGTTGAAGAGGGAGATTACGTGAGAAGCCCGCTCTAGCATGTAAGTCAATCTTTGAAGCCGAATGGGACTACTAATCCAACAACGTTGTAATCAATAGAAAGATCTCTATAAAAGAAAAAACTCGAACTTTAACCGTTTGGGAGGGAAGCGGAGGGCACGTAATCTCCCTCTTCAACTTCCTCATAAAATAAAGATCAAATTTCAAACGGTAAGTTTTCATTTAATCTTTCTATTTTATTTCGTAAGTCTCGACGGAGACTACGTGAGAATTTAAAGCCAGTAGTCCCATTCGATTCTATGAGCAATTACCTAATTGCATAAACTGGCATAGAGAAACTCTATAAACAGAAAGTAATGCTAACTTACTACTGAATATATATTATAACCTTGCTGTAGGAACACGAGTTCGTATCTTTAGACACTCTATTAATTGCTGTTAAGCACTGCATCCGTAAACTTCTTGCCCTTGCTCTCCAAAGGCCTGTCATAGAACTTTTGGAAAGTATTTTCCTTTGCCCAGCCTGCTTGAGCCAGTATGTCTTTAAGAGGTACATCCATCCTCTTGGCAGTCGACGTGGATGCTGCGCGAGTTGAGTGTGCTTTAAACTCGGTGTTGACACCTGCGCTTCTCATCGTTAATTTTATCCAACGCGAAATTGTTTGAGAAGACGCACGATGATATGGCTTGCGATAGCAAATTAGAAGGAATCTCTCCTGACCCCTAATATCCTTGGTTCGTCGAAGATATTCTCTCAAATACCGAATGACACAAATGCGGCTATCCGCTTTATAAGCCGATACCTGAATGGAGCAACCACTACGCCCAGGTTGATTTTGCTTAAGTTTCTTGTCGAGAACACATTCCATATTCTTGTCTGTCAAATTCATCTTGTCCAAGTTCATATGGTATAATGTTTGAACTCGTTGTGCTGAAGTAAGTGCTAGAAGCATAACCAGCTTGTGTGTCAAATCCTTAAGCGGGAGCTTGGTTGCTGGATATAGCTCCCGTAAGTAGTTCAGTACAATTCCAACATCCCAAGTCTTGGTATATCTAGAAACTGGGGGCCTAAGATGAAAAACTCCCCTCATGAAACGGCTAATAGTTGTGTGCGATCCAACTGTATGAGAATCATTCTCCAGAGTTAAGAAGGAGGCCAATGCACTCCTTGCCGTGTTAATGACACTATAGCCAGCATTGCCATTATAGAACAAATCACTTAAGAATTCTAACACATTCTCAGCTTTTGTCTTGAGTTTGTTTAAATTCCTCTGCCTACAAAATGACTCCCATTTCTTTATGTACACTTTATATTGTCTTTTCGTTGAGTCCTTCCAAGATGCAGAGATGATATCAACAGTTTTTGCGCTCAGGCCTTGTTGTCGGTAGCAGCAGCTCCAAGCCTGCAACAAAGAAGATCAAGATTAGACAAAGGATGAGAGAGGTTTGACACAGGCTGTCTGAGAAGTTTCTCACTTTTGGGTAGGAACAAAGGTTCTCCAATAATCATATCCTTCAAGAGAGGGAACCAAGCCTGTGTAGGCCAATTCGGGACTACTAGTAAGCCTACTGCCTTATCGGCCATAATTTTTTGAATGCATTTTGGGACAAGACAGAAAGGAGGGAAGGCATAGAAATTCAGATTTCTCCAATCTAGTGTGAACGCATCCACTGCCAAGGCATGGGGATCTGGTCTCCATGAAACATAAGTAGACACCTGTGCATTAAGCCTAGAGGCAAACAGGTCTATGTCAGGGATACCGAAATGTTTAGCAATGCGTTCAAACTCCCTTTCATTGAGCATCCATTCTGTCCTATCATTGAATTTACGGGACATAGTGTCTGCTTCAACGTTATCCCGGCCCGCTAAATGTGCTGCTGTTATCCAAATGTCCCTTTCTATACACCAATTCCATATGTGTGTGGCAGCCTCATTACAATGTGGGGATTTCACGCCCCCCATTGCATTGACATACGCTACCGCGGTGGTATTGTCAAGCCGTAAAAGGACATGCTTATGAGACATATTGGAACAGAACGATTTAAGTGCCAGGCCAGCAGCAAGAGTCTCTAAATAATTAATTTCATTACCCTTCGCTATCACTGCCTCTTGACTGTTCCACCTACCCCCCGTATGGGTGGTCATGTTAGTTGCACCCCATCCTGCCCCACTGGCGTCTGAGCGCAATTCCAAATCAGGGTTTCTACGGTTTATCGGCCGAAAAGAAGAGTCAATATGACCAATCCACCAAAGTAGTTCCCTTCTAGCTTTGTCCAAGAGTTTCATGGGCCTATCAAAGTGGCCCCTATTTAGTCTCAATGAAACTATCTTTCCTCTTTCTAGTTCGCGATAATGCAAAAGCCCATATTGAGCTGCCGGAAAAGCTGCAACTAGTTTTCCTATAACCCTTGCAACTTGCCTAATGGAGGGAGTGGCATTTTCAAGTAATGCTGTACATGTTCAATTTTAGTTCTTCCTTCTTATCTGAAGGCAAGGTCACGGTCATGTCAATAGAGTTAAGCACAAACCCAAGGAATTTGATTTCTTGAACCGGTTCTATCACCGATTTAGTGGGATGAATAATGAACCCCAATTCAGAGAGCAGTTCTGAGGTAGCTGTAACCGCCTTTGTGGCCTGTCTGTGAGACCTACCGATAATAAGGGTATCATCTAAATAGCCTAGTACAACATGGCCTGCATTGTGTAGTGAGGCAAAGGCCGGTTTCAGCAGTTTGGTGAATAGGCGAGGAGCAGAGCTAAGCCCATTTGGGAGTGCTTTATATTGCCATAACTGTCCTTCCCAGATGAAACGCAAGTATTTGCGCGACTCTGGGTGAATTGGTACTGAATAGTATGCATCTCGGAGGTCGAGAGAAGCCATGAAACAATCTGGCGATAGCAGTAAAACTGCTGAATTAATGTTATCCATCTTGAAGTGCTGATAGGCTACGCTTTTATTCAATTCAGACAAGTCAAGAATTAGTCGAAGACCCCCACTCTTTTTGGGTCTGGTAAAGATGTTAGAGATAAATTCTCCTTGTGAATGACTACAGCGTTCTATCACATTTTTTGTCTCGAGACTCAGAAGCTCTGAGCTAATTTGTCTCGACTCTAAAGCATTACGCTTGAATGTATGAAAAGGTTTCTCCCTCGAGGGGGGAAATCGAGCCGGATCAAACTCAATTTTGTAGCCTTGAACAGCACTCAAAATGTATGGATCATTGGAAATTGCACGCCATTTATCATGAAAAGACTTTATTCGACCTCCGACAGGCAGTGTGTATTCACTAGAAATAGAAGAACAATTTTGACTCACCTGATCACTGGAGTCAGGTGCCTGTTTAGCGTCTGGGACTACTTTTTCCCTCCTCGGAAAGGCCTGCGTTGGCCCGTCTGGGGTGTTTGAGTGTGTGGGGCTGGTCTGCCCCTCCACGACGGGCGGCGCCCTAAAAAAGGCCTGTTAGTGTTCATGTTACCCGCTCCAGGGTTGTGTCTTGCTGTGTTGGAAAACCAACCAGCATCTCGGGCCTGACGTTTTGCAGCCTCTGTATATCTCCTGTAAGGATGGTAGCTGGGTTTTGGAAAATTTGCGGCACCTCTCATAACACCTGCAGCCGCCTTATGTTGGTCCTGAAGGTCTTTGACCTTTTTGCCCAGTTCATCCCCGAACAGGAGCTTTGTGACCGGGTTAGCCGGCTTGCAAAGATGAGTATAGTTCTTATTCATGTCTGGTCTAATCATGTCTTTTCTCATGCAGTTCATTTCAAAGTTTGCATTACAGAGGAGTGCGAGAGCATCCTGTTGCGTATCAGACATGTTGTGAGAGTCCAAGGTTTGGACGAAAGCTCCGATTCCCTTTGTCAGTGCTTTTTGAATCCGCTGAAGTTTCAAATCTCTGCTACGAGTCTCGGCGGGGAGATTCTCCCAAATTGCGGTATTCACTTTTGGAGCGTCCATCAAAATGCAATTTGCAGGGCATGGGTACTTGGTAGCTGTTTCTTCAATTGTTTTTTCCTCCAAATTATGTCCCATCAAATAAGATGCGGAGTTTGCTAGCTCTGAATCGAGCGGCTTCCCCACGCCTGTTGGCACTGCAAATTTTGCGGCGAAGGAGGGGACCGGAGCGTCGTCGCTGTCAAGCCCAAATCCAGCGGGTTCCTCACCGGGGATTCCTCCGTGTTCCTCACCGGGGTTTCCCCCGTAATCGGCTTGCAGCGGCCCGCTGCTACCCGCTGCCATGTCATGATCATGGTTATCCCAAAATTCATCCGCCGTTGTGAAAACGTTGTCGCCTTCCCGCTGAAAATGCGGATTTTCTGAAGACGTAGACGTAAATGTCTGTTTGGGCAATGCATCTACCACTTTAGTGAGGAGTCCCTCAAAGTGATTCAGCCGCTCTTTGAGCGATTCGATCTCGGGACTTGGTTCCACATGCTTTTTCTTGGAACTACATTTTTTCGGCGTAGTTAGTGAGGTAGACGCTTTTTGCTGAGTCGGCACTGTCGAGCGCTTGGGCTCAGGATGACAGGCTAGTGAAACCCCCGCACCAGGCTTGGCTGGATGCGACGGCACGTTCTCGTTTGCTTTGCCGGGAGCACGCTCCCGCTCGGCCGAGCCCGATTTATCTCCTTCTGACATTTTCTTCTTAGAAGTAGACATGAATTGAAAGTTGTCTAGCAGAATCAGTATAATCCAGAAAATAATCCAAATTGGAAGGGGCTAACTAAAACCCAGAAAAACTGACGAAAAATCGATAGATTGACGAGTCGATTGTAGTTTCCTGCAATCATTGACCACGCGAGGAACGAATTGACTTACATGCTAGAGCGGGCTTCTCACGTAGTCTCCGTCGAGACTTACGAAATAAAATAACTAATATTTGATAGAAGTGGTTGCAGTGGTGAAGGACGTAACAATAATAATAGGTGGGCAAGAAGGCCTTAACATAAGATGATGTACAAAGTTAAACAAACAAAAATTGCAGAAACAGCAAACAAATTAATCTATTACCAAAGGAATTTTACGATTGTCACCTTTAAATATTGTGGTTGACCCAGTCTTAAAATGTACCATGTCTCAAGAACAAGATCTATCAATGAATTTGTTGACACCACCACCAGCCTAGAAAGAAAAACACTAAGTGAAAAGTTTCTCATATTTTTTTCTTTAATCTAACCCTGGTCAATTTTGTTTCTGTGTTTCCTATAAAGAAAAATACAGCTAAAGACAGACTATTTTCTTTGAATGTATTAAATGATAACCATGGAGCTTAAAATCTTCATAACAAGTCTACTCAATCGGCTTAAGATGTGCACTTGTGGATGATGTGATGTCTTCTTAAGTTGAAAATGTTGAAAGCTATTTTCAGTGGCAAATTTGGTCATGATAGCAAGATGCTTTTAAGAAAATCAGACTAATTATTAGTAGATTAACAGATCAGTGACATTTCGAAAAATCATAAGAAAGTGATGAGTTTTTGAAAGTTGTGAGGATCTTCAAACACACACACATTTGTTTATTCTTCAATGTCTCAAATTATACTTTAGGGTAATGTTAACACCAAAATGATGGTTCAAAGGAGCATTAATTTTTGACAAATTGTAAAAATGATAAGAGTTATAATTTTTTTTAAAGTTATGAATATTTTCAAACATAGTACACTTTGAGAGTCTAAATCATGTAACTTTAACTGCTATATTTTTCTATTTTTTTTCTTAGGGTAAAGGTTTCCCAGACATTAACACCAGAATGATGGTTCGTAAGCTCTGGGACACCCTGCACATTCCTGTGTTTGCTTTAGTAGATGCTGATCCACATGGTGAGTTGAATGAAGTAATAATACCATACATGCTTTTTCTTACAATTTGTAAAGTTTATTAAATTTACTGACAATATTACTGATATTGTATTGAAATTCAGTTTGGATTATTTTAACATAATGCACCAGTAAACAAAATATTATTTGGTTGTAGTAGAAGAAATGAATATACTATCAGAAATATAATCAGGAGGCCCGATGGCTCAGTGGTAGAGCAGTGGTCTCGCAACCGGGAGGTCCCCGCACTTGAAACAAAGTTATTGCGCTTGTGCCCTTTGGTCCTTCGGAGAGGAGTTAAAGCCGCTGGTCCCCTGGTTGCTTACTTACATGTACAAGCATGTACATGCTGTTAGCAGTCAGGTAAAACAATCCTCAAACATCTTCATCACACCGTGAGTCCCTCCAGATTCATATTGATATACATTAACACAATGCAAACACAATATAAGAATGAACAGAAGTTCAGTCTATAAAAGAGCTTTAAACCAAATACACTACTACGTGTAGTTTTAAATACTCTTCACTCAATGGAAACTATATAGAGCCATTATTTTTAATCATTCATTGATCTCTTTTCTCGCAGGCTTAGCTATCCTCTTTGTGTACAAGTTTGGATCTAGGGTAAGTGATTCATAGATACATGTTTTGTATTATGTGCATGATCTATTAAATAACTTGTAAATTAATGTTCATGAGTTATGAATCCTTATCTAGTATTGTTTTTGTTTCTTCTTCCTTTGTCCTTTTTGTGAATTTCTAATGGAGTCATAGGGATCCATTGATTATTGATGTCATCTTAATTATTGTTATTCTCATTTTGGTAACTAGTCTTTTTCTTGACACTGCCCTCAATACTGAATGTGCACTCAGCTAAATTTTTGGAGTTACTGAGTCCATGGGTTGTTATTTAATTTGTCAGGTGGGCAAGGAATGTAAATGAAATCACATTGTGGGCCACAAATTAGTATCAACCATACCATTGACTCGGCAAGGGGTGATGACATTTTTTCCTTAAAATTAAAGAGTAGTTCTCCCAATATTATCATGAATCATTTGGTATCAAAATTGTTCCTGTTTTATTTAATTTATCATGAATGTTTTCCTGGTAGCATATTATGATAAATACTCTGGTCCGTTACAACTATTTTGTAACATTAGTAATGTTAAAGTGAGTCGGTAACATTGTTGAAGGTTGATGAAAAAAATTGATTAAATTTTGTATAAAATGTTACTTACTATATTCCTTCTACTATACTAACCCTCTGACATGCAAAAAATCCTGAACAAATTCTCAAACCACAAAGATATCTATGGTTTTCTTTGAAGGCGTCGATGTGAGGCACCCTCTAACAGTGATTAACAGTAAATTCTCCCAACCATTTTGAATTTTCCCAACCGTTTTTCCATGAGAAAAATACATAAAACAGGCTTTAAAAATCTGTCAACACTTAACTGTCTGGAATGGAATGTAGAGCCATTTTATTGCTTTGTGACGATTTACATTCACCTAAAATATAATTAAATTGTCCTTGTCTTGATGCTGAACAGGTTTTGACAAGTAGCAGAATAGAAGTAGAATAATATAGTTGGGAGAATTAAGGAATCGATCAGATCAGTTTTTCCCAATTTGTACCATAAATAATGATCCGTTTTCACTCAAATTTTCAGATTATCTTTAATTGTACATCTAGCATTGAAGTCACTACCTTAGCACCACTATCTCCCATCTGAACAATGTTACCAAGTCCCTTTAATAGTATAGCGTTAGTGGAATAATTACGTATCAATGATAATGCTGGTGGAGCCCATGTTACCTTACCAATACTTCCAATTTCATTATTAACCTTCAGTCGCTGAGCTATGAATCCCACAGCCTGACGGTCCCATCAATACGATGGCTTGGAGTATTACCCTCTGATGTCAAAGGATTGCGAATCCCTGAGAAGGCACTTGTACCACTCTCTCCGTCAGACCTGAAGAAAGCTTCACACCTCATGAGAAGACCCTTCTATAAAGAACTCCCACAATGGATGTCAGAGGTTCGTCTATTAATTGATTTTTTTTTATCAATTTGTCAGAGTCCGGGGTGGGGGGTGGGGGGGGGGGTTGGCTCTCCAAAGGAAGCATTTATTATGAGTTCAAACTTTCTTCCTTCCAATAATTGCAGAATAATAATGTATCCTGATAATTACACTGCTTCAGCTTGTAATTAATTTAGATGCCACCTTTCATGTAGTAGATTAATTTGAAATGATTTCAGGATGTTGCTCAAACTGTCTTTGAAATACAGGGTATATTTGATTGAAAAAGAAAAAAAAGGATGTGTATGTATCAAATGTATGTGAAATACCAGTACCATTTAAACTGTCTTCAGCTGCCCATAATATATTTCATGAATGTTATCATTGCTGACAGCTTCAAGAGATGTTGCACTCCGGATACAAGGCTGAAATCCAGAGCTTAACGGCCATCTCAGAGACCTTCCTCACTGATGTCTATCTACCGACTAAACTAAGATGTGGAGGATGGCTTTGAGCAGATGGGAGGAGGCACAACTACACGGTTCATAGTCTCTAAACAAAGGGATGCCAATTTTCAAGCAAAAGCCTAAATTCAGGCCCTAGCGATTTATTTCAGGCCATAGTTTAGGTCTTTTTGTGTACAAAATAGCTCATTCTTGATGATTTTCAGGCCATCTGGTCAATTTAACTGGCATACCTGTAAACAGTATACCTATAAAACAAACAGTTTGCATCGATGGACATGCAAATCCTTTACATTTTGTTGCAGTTTTCAACTTGTATCTTGCATTCATTATGAACAGAATATCTTCATTTTTTTTTTTGGAGTTTCTCTCTAATTACACACCTCAAATGTTTCTTTAAATAGTCTGTGATAATCAGTGTGGCTTATATTTTCAGTTTGTTCAATCCGATCTATGCCGGTCTTTCTACAGACTTGCAAGATAGTGTTTTAAAAGATAAGTAAATGAAGTAAAAAGGTTAAAAAGAAAACCTTGATGCATGAAGAAACAGGATTTTAAAAAAAATCTGCTCGTTGGAATATTAATTTTAAAGATTCTTAGTTCTTGTGATACCTTTAAAAAAAAATGTACATGTTTCTCATCCTTTAAGTTATTATGCCTCCGTTACGAAGTAGCCGGAGGCATTATGTTTTCAGGTTGTCCGTCCGTTCGTCTGTACGTACGTCCCGTTCTCGTGATTGCGTTATCTGAAGAACCGATTGATGGATTCCTGCCAAACTTTGGTCATGTATGTATCTTGCAGAGCCAATGAACTGATTAGATTTTGGCGTCACGAGGTCAAAGGTCACAGGGCTCATTTATGTATGCAAAAACAGCTTGTGATCGGGTTATCTGAAGAACCGATTGATGGATTCCTGCCAAACTTTCGCCATGTATGTATCTTGCAGAGCCAATGAACTGATTAGATTTTGGGGTCACGAGGTTAAAGGTCAAAAGTCACAGGGCTCATTATGTATGCAAAAACAGCTCGTGATCGCGTTATCTCAAGAACCGATTGATGGATTGCTGCCAAACTTAGGTCATGTATGTTACTTGCAGAGCCGATGAACTGATTAGATATTGGGGTCACGAGGTCAAAGGCCACAGCGCACATTTATGTATGCAAAAACAGCTCGTGATCGCTTTATCTCAAGAACCGATTGATGGATTCCTGCCAAACTTAGGTCATGTATGTATCTTGCAGAGCCAATGAACTGATTAGATTTTGGGGTCACGAGGTTAAAGGTCAAAAGTCACAGGGCTCATTATGTATGCAAAAACAGCTTGTGATCGCGTTATCTCAAGAACCGATTGATGGATTGCTGCCAAACTTAGGTCATGTATGTTACTTGCAGAGCCGATGAACTGATTAGATTTTGGGGTCACGAGGTCAAAGGCCACAGCGCACATTATGTATGCAAAAACAGCTCGTGATCGCTTTATCTCAAGAACCGATTGATGGATTCCTGCCAAACTTAGGTCATGTATGTTACTTGCAGAGCCAATGAACTGAGTAGATTCTTGGTTCATAAGGTCAAAGGTCATGGGCTCATTATGTATGCAAAAATAGCTTGTGAACGCATTCTCATTAGAACTGACTGATGGATTACTATTTAACTCAGTTGTTTGTTCATCTTTATTCAAGAAAGTATACATGTAACATAATAATAAAGATGTGACATAGAACCCAGGACAGAGATTTGTATTACATTAAATGCATCTCATGCAGGGTTGAACAATTACAATACACAAAAACAAAACGGAAAAGAGAACATTATAACATAAGTGTTTTAAATGAAAACATTAATAATTCCTAACAAAATAACAAAAACAAAAATAATTATTACTTTCTTAGTTAGCAATGCCTCATAATACATTAACATACCGTTCGAAGATCAAAGATTACAATAATCTTGATCTAAGGAGACACGAACGAACGAACCACGGGAACCTATCTCCATAGAGAAAGAGAGAGAGAGAGAGAGAGTTGAAGAAGGGGAGAGAGCGAAAGAGAGAGAGAGAGAGAGAGAGAAGGGGAGAGAGAGAGAGAGAGAGAGAGAGGGAGAGATAGAGAGGGAGTTCCCGTTATAACAATTTATATACGTATCCTAATTTAAAGCAATTACACCGCCAAGTGTTGTAGTGATTCCAATTGAGTTCAGATAGGCTGTAAAAAACAATATAAACCCACAGAATATACTTTTGAAATATTACTTTTCCCAATTACATAATTATGCCACACCTTACATTCAGGTACCGTCATCATATCTGTCAATATAGTAGCATGCGTAATCAAACCACGAGAACCTGTCCCCACAGAGAGAGGGGGAGATAGAGAGAGAGAGAGAGAGAGAGAGAGAGGGGAAGAGAGAGAAAGAAAGAAAGAGGGAAAGGAAGAGAGAGAGAGAAAGAGGGAGAGGGAGAGAAAGAGGCCTCGCTATTGCAAGTCATACAAAGTAGTTAAACCACTTACACTCCCAAGTGATATTTTGATTGCCAGGTGCGTTCCGACCGGCTGTAAAAAATAACATACGACCCAAACAGTACGGTTTTCAAGATTTCATTTCTCAGTTGTGGATACCTTACTTTGCATTTACATGTTTTCAACATATCTATAAGTCTTTTCTTGTTGTCAGGAGTTATCAAACCTCGGGAACCTATCTCAATACACAGTAATTTGGGAGTCCAGCCGGCCTCTGAGATATCATGTATAAGTCCGGCGTACCTGTCAAGCTTTCTTTGGTGAGCCTGTTGAATGTTGGTTTCAAATGGAATTGTCAACTCAAATACTAGTATTTCCTTTTTTCTAAAATTAATGAAACATAAATCAGGTCTTTGTTGTGTTGGAACAATGGTTGGGGGAACCGTCCCTCCACTGATTGTCTCCCCTTCCACGTCAGCATATACTTGGTGATCACTTTCAAGGCCGTTCTGTTTGATGCTGTTTAGCAGATTATGTACAATGTTATTGTGGCGCCACGTGTATCTATTTAACATTTCCTGACAATTATTAAATACGTGATGCAAAGTACCTTTGGCTTGACATAAACTACACAAGTCATTTATTCGCTTACCCCATCTATACAAGTTTTTATTACTCGGCAGACTATCAATCGCTGCATTTATTGCAAATTTCATAACTCCTTGTGGTAGATTGAAGATGATGGACTTCATTATGTATGCAAAAATAGCTTGTGAACGCATTCTCATTAGAACTGACTGATGGATTACTATTTAACTCAGGACATCTTGCAGAGCCAATGAACTGAGTAGATTTTAGGGTCATGAGGTCAAGTTCAAGTTCATTTATGAGGTCAAAGATCAAAGGGTCATATATGTATATGAGAAATTGCTTGTAATCACGATATTCTGAGAACCTGTTAATGGATTATAATTGAACTTGAATTCGAAAAATTTCTTCTGTTTTGGTTTGTAAAATTGCTCTATGACGGAGGCATCAATTTCGACTGCGTGCAGTCGAAGTTCCATCTAGTTTTAAAACTGCTTCCTGCCTTTGTAATATTTATGCATGCTTGTGGTGAAACCAATGGTGTAAACATGTATGTATTATTTATTGATACTGGTTATGTGTGTAGGTTAGATCATACTCAATAGTGTAAATATAACCACAGACAAATGGTTCCTTGTGCTATGTTTTTAAAACCGAATATCCAGACTAGTATTTGGTGCTATTCTAAAATTGTCTAATGTAGCTGTGTGCTTTTATCTTTATCCACCCCGGAAATGGGTCATTTAAATGGAGAGAACTAATTTGTATATGTTTCATTGTTTCAACAATGTACTGTGCAATCAAAACAACAACTAAAACCAAGACGTGCATACAATGTTTGCCTATTTGTAAATACGGTACAAATGTGTTTTATTTATTCATTTGTAAATATTTGTATTGAAGAAGTATAAGTATTTATCTCATAAACTATATTTTGATACCAGTATAAGTACTATAGATTAACGGGACATGCCTTTAAGAAATGTAGAGGCAATATTCTTATGATGATATTGCCATTATGGTTTATCTACAATAATATAAGTGGTTAAAGGTACAGTTGGGTTCTGGTCATGCGATTTCATTGTGAAAGAAACGTTGTGGAATTGATCAGAAAAGGTTGATCATCTAGCATCTAAGTATTGGTGTGTACTGCAAGGTTCTGGAATCATCAAAATGATAACAAAATTGGCACAGTCTTAGTAAACTTACCAGCACTGTACACATACAGATGTATATGGGACTACACGAACATGTACGCATAAAAGTCTGTCCCGATTTTTATTATGTTACATGCCACATTTAGAATATTATGGCATTTGAAGAGCCATGCTTTTCAGGGAACGTTTTTTCTCTGATGTTCTTCCACACTTGCATAATACAATGATAACACTCACAAATTATTGTTCACCTCTTCCCAGAACTCAACCTTCTCTTTAATTGACAAGCACATTTTATAACATTCAGCTCAAGACTGGTTGTAATTTTGTGCTTTGAATACATTTTGTTTCTCAAGAACCCATTAAAGATGTTCTGTTTATCAAGCCAGATTTGGTCTCATTGTGATAATTTTGTTTTTTTAGAAATACATTTTTTGTTTGTTTTTAGTGCAAAACTCGTGCCTTTATGCCCTTGAGTTTATTTGGACTTGAACACTTTATGTTAAGTTATTCATTTCATTTGTATATTATATAATTTGAGAGATTTGGCTGGTCAGTACGTGAATGACCAATTTTATGTTTGCAGAGAAAATATTTTAATAAAGTTTTATTTATGTTTCAATGTAAACTGATTCTTTATTATTGATTTTCGTATGAGAATTAAAATAAGATTATGCAATATGATAAGAAAGTTATGTGTGGGGAAAAAGAGACAAAAGTAAAGAATGTAGATATAAGAAAGGAGAGACTGAATGAAGAAAATAAGAGGTGAATATAAAAGTAAATAGAGATTTGAGAATATAGAAACTTAGAAGAAAAATAAGGGGGGATTTTAAATGATAAAAAAAGGTGGAGTATGACAGTATTTTCTTTGTTAAATGTAATGTAGCTGAGATAAACGATTCTGGAATGGTGGTCTCGCAAAACGGAAGCTATTAAATAAGCCCCGTCAAATTTGATTCTTGTTCATTTTTTTTTTAAAAGCAAATTTTGGAGAGGGTTTTATGTTATTTGATATTTTGTCTATACATAAACATTCTACTGGGTCATTCAACATAAATTTTCTTATTTTAATTTCATTTGCACTTGGGCTCAAAAGGAGTTAAAAGGCAAAATATCCCTAATTGTAACCTAATTGTTTAGATATCTTCAGATTATTATTCTAAAATTCATTCACAGTGAGGAACAAAATAAACAAATCACGAATCTAATTTTATATCCTCACATTCTCTCAGTCTATATGTTCATCACGTCTATTCAAATTCTCTCAATCATTTATACCACTTATTATCATTTTTAAAATACATCATTTAAAAGGTCTCTCCCTTTATCATCTTCTTACAATCTGTTTACAATCTTGATTTCTTCCATTCAAATCCATTTACCTTTAT